CTATTAACCGCCCCAACAACTTTACGTCAATTTGCATTATAACTGTGGTTACTCAAGTTTATCAATTTAATAGTCATACTGTTGTATAATATTACATGGGGTCTAATTGCTAGGCTTTTGTTAGGGGTTACGTATATGTATAAAAAACCTCTGTACATGCTAGTTGTTGGATATGCCGGTAGTACCTATGGTCATAGTAAGGCTCACATTTTGTTTTTCAGTTGCTTCAACCCTCCCTCCAGGCATAAAGCAATATCACACTACTTGTTTCTACCAGGTATTCAGGGAGGTTGTGGTCATGGTTATGTTCTCAAACAGGTTATTACATGGGGCTCCCGCGAGCCGGCCTATTATGTTTCTGTTTTTTTAGCTCTTGTTGATTTTCATCCGTTACGGTAGGCTTTCCTTAAATGGATTTATGATGCTTCTGAGAGCACATCATATTCAGGTACATTTGGCCATCTATTTGGCCCTCAGCCAGGTTTTCTTGTGTCCATTTTAATCACGTAACCCTGCGTGACACTATCCCCAAGATAGTTTATTGTTGACCCAGTCACACGGTTATTTATACTTATTCTCACCATCATACCTACCACGACTCGCGTACCTCCCTGCTATGTTGTTAAGTAGTTTTATGTATCCAAGGAATTGACTCTGATATATTGCTTTATATTTAGATTATTCAACAGTATCCTTAGTTAATTTTCCTAATAACTAGTATAGTGCATGCTGTCAATTCCTTCCCCTTTTGGGGAAGTTTGCAAGCACTTACCTTTCATAGGTTAGGTCGGTAATTAGAACATCTGAGTCTATTTGATATTCACTAGTCCCTTGCATATATCACCCCATAGGTATACTTAACTATCCCGGACCAATAATATCCTGAAAGTTCTTGCCACATGAGCAGGTAAGTACAGCATATTCGCCCTTTCCAAATTACGCCATATTCATTCCCTTCCATAGCAAGCTTAGAGGAACTGGCTTCAATTCAATAGCAGTCAGTCCATCCGAGGCATCAGCTGAGGCATTTGAAAAGTCTTCTCCACCTCACCCCGGGCCATTTCATACTTAGGGCCTCAATAGACTCAACTAGGAGTCATTAGAGAGGGTCTCAACTGACACAGCCATCCGTTTTGTATCTTTTGCATCACCGAGAGGCCTACTCCCCACCATTACATCGTGGTTCATTCTGTGTCCCACTCATAGATAGCGCCTCTCAAATGCCACTTGGCAATTAGCAGGGCCTCAACCTCCCCCGATTAGGTAATTGCTTTGCCTTTGGGCATTAGGATAGCAAGCCAGTTCCTATTCTAGTTTATGTTGAGAAAGTTATTTACCCTATGTCATGCTATTACATAGCTTGTCTCAGGCCTCTGACATTGGAGGCATGTCTCAGGCCTCTGACATTGCAGAAGATCTAGATCTCCTGGACTCCCCACCTACAATGGGCACACCAGCCAGACCTACCTTCCTACAGAGATTCAAGACCCGGCTACCCCGGGTTCACTTAGTTCTTGGACTATCCCAAAAATTTCAGCCGAGCTGCGTAGATGAGGCATCCCTTTCTCAGCTACGGCCAGGAAGGCAGATTTGTATCATCTATTGTCAGCTCAGCCAGGCACCCCAGGACGGAGTTAATGCGGCAACCAGGACATTTCTGAGAGCTTAGCAGAAATGCATTCCATGATCTCGTGCTTAATGACGTCCATACACTTGGTCAACCAGAGACTTGAGAAATTGGAAACCCAGACTGCGGGTGCCCCTCCTACTGCTATTGTCTCCCCTGAGTTGCTTGCTCCCCACCCAGGCTCGCAGGGTAACATCACTCTTACTATTCTCCCCTAAGCCACCTCTACTCACATTATCACCAGCAAGGTTACCCAGGTCCCGCTTCAGCTACCTTTTGCCACCTTTCCCTTAAACTTTCATACAATTCCATAAAACTATACCTGGCAGGTATACAGCACCATTACCTAACTCTTTACCCAGACTACAAACCATTCATGTACACTTATCCTATCAAAAAAATATACTTAAGGGTATTCAGCAGGTTGGCCTCGTGTACAACAACCTATTGACGGCGCCAGGTTTAGAGCCCTTTCTGACATGCTAGACAGCAAACCATTTGACTCATAAGTCAATTCCATTATTTAAGCAGCCATCTACATTGCCGTTTATGGTTTCTTATGCCCCCGCAAATTTACCATAGGTTCCTCAGTGGAGGCACCACAATGTTTGAAATTCAGATATCTCAATAAAACAGAAGATCATTACAAGATTATCATCAAACCCAGCAAAACTAACCAAACAGGTCCGGCAGTAGAAATTCCACATCAAATTAAAAGGACACTATAGTCACCACAACAACTACAGCTTATTGAATTTGTTCTGGTGAGTAGAATCATTACCTTCAGGCTTTTTGCTGTAAGCACTGTCTTTTCAGAGAAAATGCAATGTTTATATTACAGCCTAGTGATAACTTCACTAATCACTTTTCAGATGACTGTTAGAGATCCTTCCTGGGTCATTGCTGCCTCAAATGCATCACAACATTCAGTAGGTCTGCCCCCTGCATGCAGACACTGAACTTTCCTCATAGAGATTCATTGATTCAATTCACCTCCCTGAAGAGATGGTGTTCAACCAGCGCTGTGTTTGAATTGTGCTGGCTCTGCCCCTGATCTGCCTCCTTGTCAGTCTCAGCTAATCATATGGAGAAGCATTGTGATTGGATCAGGCCACCACTTCTGATAATGTCAGCAGGTAGCTTGCAGTTCTGAGGCAAACAGCATGTAGAGCTAAAGCTTCAGTCTTGAATACAAGTAAGATTTTACTATATTTAGGGAGTCGTGAGAGGTTCAGGGGGGCTAGATGGTGGTTTAAACACTATAGGGTCAGGAATACATGTTTGTATTCCTGACCCTATAATGTTCCTTTAACCCCTTAAGGACGGCAGACGTGCTATGCCGTCCTTCGGGACCTGGCTCTAGATGCCGGGGGGTGACATAGCACGATCCCGCCATCCTTTGTACTTACCCAGTCACCGGCGATCCCACTCCAGCAATCACAGTGCGGGGACTCACCTGGCATCCCAGGGAGTCCCCCTCCTTCTGTGATAGCGAGGAATACAAAATTGGCGTTCAAAATAGTTTTTTGCATTTTTCACACATAAACAAATATTAATAACTTGTAACTGTAAATGTAACATGCTATATTTGAGTATAAAAATAGACTCTAAGAGAGAACGTACCCCCACAACTCAAGTAAGGAGAGGGGGAACACGCTCTACTGGCTTTTATTAAATAAATAGGGAATAATCCAAAAAGAAAAACCTGTTAAAATATGCTTGGATCCCAGAAAGCTAGAAGGAGGGTAACCTGCTCGTGGCTACAAAGTCTCCCCCAATATCTACAACAAAACTACTTTATTGATAAATAACATTAAAAGGATACAACAGGAGACAAAGCCAGGGCAGGACCCTAGAATACCGGCAAGTATCAGCACAGTTATTTAAGGCCTTAGGTGAATCCACATCAGAGCAAAAAAGAGAGAATAGTCAGTGAGGGCTAAAAAAAATGCCTCCAAAACACAGACTAAATAGCGCTTGGATATTTCACCTGAGCGGTACGCTGAGCTAATACCAAAAGACAAGGTGGTCTTGGGGTATAAAGTAATTAGAAAATTACATTAATACAGCAGTAGAGAACTGTAACAAGGTCTCCGAATGCAAACTGAATAAGGGCTAGTAGGACAGTAAATAAGCATGAGCGGATCTCCAGCTTCTCTAAATCATAAGTCTAGGCAACGTCCATGCTAATATAGAATTTTTCCCTGATGAAGGTGCGTCTGACACCGCACCGAAACGCACGTCATGCTGTTTATTATTTTTTAATTTTGTGGCACTTATGGAGACACATGATTGGTTTAGCACCTTGATTTTGTTAAGCTGAGATCCGTATTAGGATCAAGGAGGGTCATTGGGGGGACTTAGTTTTTATTAATGTAATTTTGAATACAATACAAATGTGAATACAAATGTGTATTTTATTGCAGTAAAAGCAAACAGTATCATGACATTCACTGTTAAAATGTCACGTAGAACAAAAAAAAATCCCTTTTTTCTCCCATTTTTTTTATATTTTATTCATATTAAATTATGTTTCATGCCTAAATATTTGATGTTAAATGAAAGCCCTGTTTCCCCTGAATAAAATGATACAATATGTGTGGGTGCACAAAATATGAAAGATGTGAATTATGCCTAAACCAACATATAGTCAAATTCAAGGTTTTGTTTACATTTTGTTTTGATCACGTGTACATTTGGCTCAGTCCTCTAAAAAACTATAACTGACAATGGTTCGTATTGGCCCTAAATATATTTGTATAATTACATTTTATCCCCTACGAGGTGCTATTTTTCCAAATTAAACAGATTCACATTTTTTTTTTACCTTTCTTTATAACTAAAATGTTCCATTACTTTTATTAGATTTGTAGCCCACCTCTAATTTTTTTTTCAAGTGCCATAATATTCTTTAGAACAAGAACCAAAAAAAATTGCATTGCACAGCATATTAAAGATGTGGCCTTACTATTGATTTATAAAGAAGGAAAATGATATATTCATCTTGAGAATTAAGCTCCTTTTTATAAATGACAGTACCAGGGCCGCCATCAGAAATTTTGGGGCCCATGACAAAGCACATGATCCACACCCTACCTAGTCCGCTCACAATGATGCAGGACTGAATGTGGTGTGTATAGTGGAAGTGAATTAGAATGTGTGTAATGGATGTAGTGTTTGTGTGTATTAGATACTGTTTGTGCAGTGAATGCAGAGTGTGTGTTTGTGTAGCGGATGCAGTGTGTATAGTGAATGCAGAGTGTATTTGAGTAGTGGATGTAGTGTGTGTACAGTGATGTAGTGTGTGTTTGTGTAGTGGATGTAGTGTTTGTATGTACTAGATGAAATGTGTTTAGTTGATGCAGTGTCTGTAGTGGATGTAGTGTGTGTATTAGATGCAGTGTCTGTGTATAGTGAATGCAGAGTGTTTCAATTTGTGGTGGATGTAGTGTGTGTACTGTGAATACAGGATGTTTGTGTAGTGGATGCTGGGTGTACAGTTAATGCAGAGTGTATGTTAGTGTAGTGAATGCAGAGTGTATGTTAGTGTAGTGAATGCAGAGTGTGTGTCAGTATAGTGAATCCAGAGTGTGTGCATAGTTTAGTGAATGCAGAGTGTGTGTTAGTGTGTAGTGAATGCAGAGTGTCAGTGTAATGAATGTAGTGTGTGTGTTAGTGCAGTGAATGCAGTGTGTGTGTAAATTTGTAGTGAATGCAGAGTGTGTGTTAGTGTAGTGAATGCAGTGTTAATGTGTAGTGATTGAAGAGAGTGTGTGTTAGTGTAGCAGATGCAGGGTGTGTGTTGTGTTAGTGTATGCAGAGTGTGTGTTTTGTTAGTGTATGCAGTGTGTGTGTGTTAGTGTATGCAGTGTGTGTTGTGTTAGTGTATGCAGTGTGTGTGGTGTTAGTGTATGCAGTGTGTGTGTGTTAGTGTATGCAGTGTGTGTGTGTGTTTGCTGTGTTAGTGTATGCAGTGTGTGTGTGTGTTTTGTGTTAGTGTATGCAGTGTGTGTGTGTGTAAATGTGTGATCTGGGGGTGGGAGGGGGAGGAAGGGGCATTTTAACATAAATTTTCTATTAAATTAATTAAATGATATCCCCCCCCTCCCTACTTACCTGTGCCCAGGCAGCACACTGCTTCTCCTCCTCTCTTCTAATAACTCTTGCGAGACCCGGTTACCATGGCAACGCTCCTCGGGTCTCGCAAGAGTTATTAGAAGAGAGAAGACAGGAGGAGAAGCTGTGTGCTGCCTGGGCCCCCTCTGCGGTAACAGGGAGCCGGGGGCCCACGGCTGCACACATAGATAGCGATATTCGCTATCTATGTGTGCAGAAAGGGAAAGTGGGGCCCGGGACTGCCAGAGCAGTCCGGGCCCCCCAGGCCTGTGAAGACAGTCATGGTTGTCACCCCTTGATGGCGACCCTGGACAGTATCTTACTGGCCTTAGTAACTGCTGATTGACATTGCACATTGATGCCTAGTTAATCCCCCAACCCTGCTTGTGTGTTATCCTTAATTCACTACTATTTAGGGTGTAAGTGTGCATACTATACCCCTAAGTGCATTTATCTTCATAAGTTTCATATGCCATTTGAGTTTCCAGTCCCCTAATTTATTTTAATCCCTCTAGCATCAAAATAATATCCTGCTCACGTTGTATTACTTAACCTAGTATTGTGTCATCTGCAAACACTGAAACATGACTTTCAATGCCCATCTCAGACTGGCTATTAGCAAATGCATGGTGGGCTGTGAAGTCCATGGGCTGAGGCTGACAGGAGGGGATCATGGAATCTCACCGGCCGGGCCCTGCTGGATCGGAGCTTCTCAAGTGCAGTATCCATCACCGCTGGATGCTGTAACAGAGCATTGCAGAGCATTACCACAGCAACGCTCTGCTACATTCCTCAGAATCAAGGGATGTAGCAGAGCATTGCACACAAGCTGATTCTCAAACTGGTCCACCAGGGATTAGGATTTTCTCCTCCTTGGCCACAAGTAAGCCTTGGGGAGGGGAGAATAAAATGTAATGTTTTTTCACTCCCCTCTCACCACTACTGTGCTTATCCCCACTGCAACCCACAATCCCTCTATACTACATCTTAAATCTCTCCCATACACTACAGCTACAATTCCACCCCACACACTGCAGCCCCTATCACCCTCATATACTACAGGCTCCATCCTGCAACCCACCAACTAAAGCCATAATCTCCCCCACATACCTTACAGCTCCAAAACTGCCCACACTACAAACCCTCTCCAAACACACTATACCACTAACATGCCTCTCCACACAAACAGACTTACTAACTTGCTGCTCCCTGGTTTGTCTACTAATCTTATCTAAAAATAGTCTAGCCTATTCCATTGTAGTTTTCTTTTGTACAGCTTCTTCTGTAGTTGGATCTAGATATTTAAATCTCTTAACCCATTAAGGACCAGCTTCAGAACCCTTAAGGACACAAACAATATTTGCATTTTTTTGCTGTTTGTGTTCTGCTGCAATTTGCATATCATTTATTGCATCAACACATATTATACACTGTTTTTAGAGGGCAAAAGGGGCTTTAATTTTATGTCATGTAAACAAATATAAATTCTCATTAATTAGAAAAAAAAATAAAAAAATGAGGGGGGAAAATGATAATTATTTTTCCCCACAGTTTTGGCAATAATAACGTGTGCATAATATATCCATCTTAGGAAAAGTAATTCAAAATAAAGTAATTTATGTGTCTTGATTTATAAAGTACATAATATGTGTAGGCTTTTGGTTTATTTTGAAAGCTACAGGTCACAATATACAAGGACTAAAATAAAATTAAAATGTGAAAAAGTTTAAGAAGTTGGTATGTTTCTCTTGTAAGTTTAGTAGCCATCACAAAAAAACAAAATTGCCACACAAAAGTATATATTTTGAGTGAGTATACCTCACAGGCTATTTACCTAAGGTTATTTTGACGGTTTTTATGTCGCCATTTCAGTGCAAATCTCTGATAATTTTGTATTTCTTAAAGTTGGTGTGTGCTACTCCTGTACAAAACCATTTATTGTGTTCAGCTACATCTGCTGAATACAACAATACCCCTATTTATGCCTGTGGCACTATTCTATGATTCTACAATAAGAGACAAGGCTATTTAAGTTTCCATAATTAGAATTTTCATAGATGGATTTGATGGGCCTATGTATCATTTTGGTGCATTATAGCAGTTTGACTGTTGAAATAACCCCATAAAAGGGCTTCCATTTGAGAAAGCAGACACTCCAGGGTATGTTATCTGGTGTATATATTGTGTCTTAACTTTTTATCATTTTTTACCAATTTTTGTCAATGTTTGTGGTGAGGATAAACAAAATGGCATTTTTTACATACATGTTGCATTCTTGCTGGGTATATCTTACATGTGATGTGTGCCACTGTCATAAAATCCCCCAAATTATGCTCAGTTACATCTTCTGAGTAAAACAATGTGCCCAGTGTATAATGTAGACATTATTTTGTTACGTTACAGTGCCGTAAAAGAGCCTTGACAATTTCAGGTTTTTAAGTGTGAATTTTCATAGATGGTTTTGATAGCTGCATATTCCAACTACACCATAAAGGCATATCACGTGGTCCTTAAGTGGTTAAGATCTTTAACTATTTTTTTTTTTTTTTTAGCAACAGCAGACTGTTCAATGCTTTGTGCAAAAATCCTTCCAGTCCCTGTGACACACTAAGATTTTTTAAAGTTTAAATTCACACAAGTTTCGATTTAATACAATTTAGATAAGACGACTGTATCTCTTTTCTTTTAGCCTTTATACAGTATTTAAAACGTGCAAGCCGTTTGTTTGGCTTCACCAAAACGTAAAAAATAATGATTAAAATGTAAAAATAATACTTGATACTCTATATGTATATATTCTTCTTTATTCTTGTTAAATGGGCCTGCCTTGTATCATATTCATACGTTCTTCTGTGTCACATAAAATATAACTCAATCACACTTTCCTAGTGTTTCTTATAAAAAGATTTACTCTTCTTGCTTCTTAAATACAAAGCCAGCTCTTCTATGTCCTTGTCTCTGACCACTTACACATATAATACATTCTATATATACACAACACCAAAGTAGGTGTGCAAGAATACATAATTACAGAGTCAATGCTATTGATACAAAAGCAATGCTAATTTTGGCATTCAAAAATAGGTGATAATAAGCATTGCAAGCTCTTTTCTGTTTATGCCACTCAACAAACCATGTCTTAGTGTGAAATGCGTGTAAGAGAAAGTCCCAATAAATGTGTACATTTTACAGCAGAGGTGCCCAAAAGGTAGATCCCCAGATGTTTTACAACTACAGCTTACATGGTGCGTTGTCATTCTAAGTGCATGCAAAGCATCACGGGAATTGTAGTTCTACAACATCTGGGGATCTACCTTTTGGGCACCCCTGTTTTACAGAAAGAAATGAGAATGTCCCCAGATGTCATAATATACAAGTGAAAAGTGCAGTTTTTAAATGGAACATTATGCTTGAAAGAAGCTGTGAATGGTAGGAAAATGAAGCATTTATAAATAAATAACACTCAATAATCAATTTGTTTCAGGAAACTGTTGACATTAAGGAAGATAACATATACAATATTTCTATGGAAGTTCCCCAAAGACCTGGTGAAAACTACTGTGTGTCAGCAACACCTAAGAAACGAAATAGTATATCTGTTAATGAGTGTAAAAAAGCACCAGAGGAACAAATAGCTAACTCTGTCATTGCAGGTAATTGACATATTGGTTTGAATATGATCTATTAGTATATTTTTTTTTAGTTTTTATTTTTTTTATCATTTTAAATGGTTATATTTTAAACAAAATAAGTATATCTGCAATATCTACTCATTCATGCAATAAGATCTGTTGGAATTACGAGACAAAAATATAGGGTAAAAAAATTATTCCCAGCAAGGAAACTGCTGCCACAACTGCTTACTAAAACACCCCTGTAGAGATCACACTTCTCGCCTCTTGATTTCTAACATTTTATGAAATATAACAGAGTGCCATAGGCATGATTTAAATATTACAGAGCAAAGGCAATTGGTGGGTTACATATATATACTGAAATGTTGTATACGTGTGTAGGAAACTGCTTCATGAATTCCACTATATCTTTCCTAACTAATAAAAATATATATACATTTTTAAATGCTCCTCCCATTTTCCCTCTATTGGTTACTTTTCTCACGTGATCTGTGGAACAAATGGACCTATCAGGTGTATTTATATATTTGCAGTACACTGATTGGATGTTTTATTGAACATTGAGGTACAGCTAATAAAATGGCAAACTGACTTTTACAGCTGTAAACTTCCCATTTTATCAGCTGTACCTCAAAGTTTGGACTTTCTAAATTAGCTATTTTTTTTATCAGCTATTATTTACACTTGGACTTTACTGTATTACCACTTACATTTACTGTTTTAATACAAATATAAAATAATATAAAGTTTAATATAAAGTTTTTTTAGGCTCAACATTACTCTTGTTGCTTTATCGTCTTTTACTTTTGGGTTTGTGAAGGAGCCCCATCTCTTTTA